CTATTATTTATTAACGTTATGCCTACATTTGAATATTTTGAAATAGTGATAACACCGGTGAAGAAAATTGAGATAAGGTTTGTTATTGTAAGTAAATGCCTGTATTCTTCATTTTCTATGGTAAAATATAAATGTGAATTTGAATTTAATCTTATATCGATTATCAGCCGCTGCAGCGGCACGTTATATTATAAACTAACCTAACCTTGGGTACGTAAGTACGTTACATATGCGAAAATGCGATAGTGGGACGTTGTTCGTACTCTCGTATTATTAATTAAATTATTTGCGTTTTGAAAACATTCCGTTTTCCAATGTCGACAAATTGTTACGTAACAGGGAACTTTTTAATTACATCGCAGTATAACATCATTGGTTACTAATTAGTAATTACCATASTTAACCACCGTTAGTGTCGGCGCGTTACGAGATCGGTACACACGTTTATTTGTATCTTGCTTTTCGGTTTCCTTTTGATTAGAATAATAATATTTAGAAAATGCATTCAGAACACTTGGTGACCCATGTCTTGTTGTTTTTCGTCATTTGGGCCACAGCCGTGGTCTGTCTGAAGAAAGATCGGTACTATTGCGAGTTGTCTTCCTCGTGTATGTGCATTACGGTCAACAACAACAACAACATCGATTTGGGTGGAGTGAATTTGACGCTAACAATAGCGGATAACCAGACGTTGAATTATCAACCTTGTGTCAGCGAAATCGTTGTAAGTATTCRGTTGCACGATAAACACTTCTATGATTTATCTAAAGGTGGACGGTTTTAATTACATTCTAAGTACTGCTAGTAGTTATTTATACAATATGGGTACAGCTTGATCAATATTTTAGATTTCAAACATTTTGTCAAGTACCTAGATGATTAACGAATACGTTTTCATCATAAGCCACTATGTAGCCATGTAGATAATACCTATATGATATGACTTAATCATTTATTAAAAATGCATTTTTTCTCTGCGCAACAGAGAAAAATATCAGTTAGGTATATTGAAGACAATTTGAAWGCAATGGTTTAGTATTTAGGTGTTACGTTCATACTCTCAGTATTCAATAATTTTTTCAGAGCAATAAAATTTTAGTACAATCGAATTTTTTCAGGGTATCCCAAGGCTAATAAAAATTAAAAATAATCACCTTAACAGTAACCCCCCCCTCTGTCATTTTTTTAAAAAAGTTGTTACATTTTTATATTTTATAATGATTTATTATTTATGGCTTGATTTGAAAATATCATTAAGTTTACCTAAAGAAAAGATTATTGCTTTACATTAGTAACGGTTTGAACTTTTTTTTGCTTGATTTACATTTTCCGCCCCAAAATTTTTTTTATTCCTCTAAATATTGAATTTATATTATGTTAGTAGTTAAATACCATTTAAAAATTGTTCAAACTATCTTTTCCAACCCTATGATATCCACCTAGCTATTAATATATTTGTGAATCACGTGATTCAAATATACCTCATTTAAGCCGTCATTTTTCTCCTATCTTTTTGTGGCATTATCGCATTATTGAGTAAAGTAGAGGCCATAAAAAAAACATTAAAAATTTAAATTTAAATAGTATATGATTGTTCTACTTAATGTGCCACTTAATTTATAACTGGACACTCATAAATTTGGATATTAGAGATGTGTGTAATATCCGTAAAAATATATTTTGAAAGCTTATTTCTTTAAAATATTTTATAGATTTAATTACGATTTTTAATTAAAACATTTCTAAMGGGTGTTTAAAAAAAATTATATCTACTGAAATGTTTTAGTTGCTGTACCCAATCCTATTGTTCATTTTAATTGTTCTGAATTTAAATGTTTATATATATATATATTATACCTACTAATCATTTATTAGAAAAAACAATGTATGTACAATATATTTCAATTTAGTAATATTTTAGAATGCATATTAATGATTATTACGTCTTACATAACAAATTTGAAAATCGTTCCATTTCTCTAATGACTACATGTCTACAGTCTGCTGYCTGCATAAGGCATTTTGTCTCATAAAGCAATTTTTATATTTGTCTAATATTATTATAATTGTCTTAAAAGTTAACACTTAGGAATCTACTTATATAAAAAAAGTATTCAAATTAATATTTGAAAGATATCATATTCTAATATTATATATATTTTAAATAATTTATATCATTGTATGTATAAAACTAAAAACTTTTATGTTTAGATTGTAAATGGGACATCCAATTCTTCAGTACAGGTTGCCAATTATACGCATACTCATGTTCAAATAAGCCATGTGGTAACATTTATCTATACAAATGATGACAACCAGCAGTAAGACTATTTGAATATTATTGAATCTATTATACCATTTATACATATGAATTACTTAATTCATTTTATAGTGCGTTTAATGTAATTTTGGTATGTGATCCATTAGCAGTCAGTGGAAATGAATCTTTGACGAATTTCAAAAATGTCACTGATATTCAATGTGTAAGGCAGTTTATTATTTTTATTTTAATCATTAAATTAAATTTTTGTATCATATTTATAGACAGTTGAACTTAAAACCAGTAAAGTATGTGGATTGAATTTAAGCGATGCATATGTTGACAACCCAGAATCAGAATCTTGGACTTACTTTTTTTCATTTATGTTGGTTGTTGCATTTGTATACTTTGTTGGCGGATCTGTAGTAAATGCCTGTTTATTTAATGAAATTGGTATTAATATGATTCCTCATCATGTCTTTTGGTCGTCCCTTTATGATAAAATCAAGGTTTGTCTTAGCGTTTTGGCTTATTTTTAATAATTTATTGTAATCCAAGTATATTATTCTAGGATAAAMTATGTGGCACATCTACAATGGCAACAGCTTATGAGAGCATATAAAATATTTTTTTATTTAAACAAAAAAATGACACTCATGCACTGTGTTGTGTTGCTTATGATAAGCGTGGTGATCGCTGA